CCCCCCCCCCTCCTCTCTCTCTCTCTCTCTCTTATGTTACCTACTTCTCTCCCTTGTTACGCATCTCCCTCTCTCTCTCTTATGTTACCTATTTCTCTCCCTTGTTACCCATCTCTCTCTCTCTCTCTCTCTCTCTTATTGGCCCAATGCAATAAAAAAAAAATACCAACGCTCCCCATTGGGTGGCTATTAGAAAAGGCTTAGGCCCTTTTTTTTTTACCTTGATATACAATTTTAGTAACACTACGCAATTTAAACAAAACATGAAGTTTATTTTTTCATTATTGTACTCACAAAATTTTTTTTGCGATGTATTGTTCAATATGCTACAAGTAATATCAATAATCCCTTGTCGATAATAAATGTATTCTCATACAAGTTCTAAAAGGAAGAAAGTTAGTGTCGTGTAAATTAGTCCCACATCGGCTATTGCAAAAGGATAAGGGCGGCCCACAGCTTATAAGAGGAGGTGAGGGGGAAGGCCTGAGAGCACATGAGTAAATTAGACCTCAATGAGGAGTGTGGGCCATCTTTATTAAATGGAGGCCTATAATTTATAAAATGAGGAAAAGCTGAAAGCGATAAATTAAGGAGGGGTTGAGCCACATGCCATCTCTTCTTAAATGAAAAAAAAACCAAATAACGTCCAAATCAACCAGTACACCCAGCGAACTGGGCAGGTTCACCAACAGGATTGGCGGTTTTGTCATTGAACCGGCCGGTCTACGGTGTGAACTAGCCAGTTCCCGATATATGTCGGGAACCGGATTTGCCTTATTGATATCCAATCCAGATCGGGTGATTATGATCTGGATTGGCATTTTCTAAATCTTTTTTGAAAGATATCAGATGAACTGTTTTCAACAGATTGAGATCCAATTATCAGAATGAAAACAGAGTTCAACCGTTCAGACAATTAGAATATATAGCTATCTGCTAGTAAGCTGCAAGCAAGAAACTAAAACCGAAACTTTTATTCTAGAAAAAAGCTTCCTGAGAATTCAGACAAAAGACACTACCATCTGATCAATGTCGTGTGCATCACATCATATATGCAAAGCAAATGGGGGTGCATGCGTGTCACCGTCCATATATAGATACACACAGTCAACCTATTTATACACACACACCCATACAGACATGCATATAGAGATGCATGAATATAAATATATGTGCGCCTGTGTGTGTGTGTGTGTGTGTATATATATGTGTGTGTGCATAAATGCATGCATGTGTGAGTATAGTCAAACACACAAATATACAAATAAATGCATACAAGTTCATGTATTTATCCATGCATACATATGCATCCATGCACACATGGACATTAGAATGCAAGAATTGTGAATGGATATTTTGTAAATAGAAAGTCATATTACAAACCTTGGATGGAAATTTCAGGTATAATTGAATTGCAAAAATCTCCAAAAATTGTCGAACAGCTGGTAGATTGTTTCTCTACAAGGGAACAAAGAGTAAAACTATCTCAAATTCAAGGACATGGAAGGAAGAAATGCTATTCATATCTTTCACATATGCACATTCCAGATTCATTCATTCATTTATCACTGAATATAACATCATCATCATCATCCAAGCCTTATCCCAATTATTTGGAGCCGGCTACTGAATATAACATAAGTTAAAAATAAAATAAAACAAAAATATTCTAAAAACATAATGCTGTAAGAAGCAATTAAAATCCACTGCATTTTCATAGACACACACCCACACATGCACGCACACAAGTACCAACAAGCGTGCACACATATCACAACAGGCAATCACAAAAAACTATTTCATGCTTGCTAAAAATTACAAATAAAAGGTAGGAAATCACTCACATAGAGGCAAACATGAAGCATAGATGTAACCTCTTCAACAATGCTTTCATCAACAAATAAAGAGAGCACACAAATCATCTGCCAAGCACGGACTTTATGCCTATGGATCTGAAAAAGAGACAGGTGTCAATCATAAGGATATAATAAGGAATAAAAGAAACTAGAATAAACAATAGTTACAAAGGAGAGATGGAGAAGCAATAGCACAAGTCCAGCAGCACAATGAAAGAAACATCTCACCATGCTATGCTTTTTGTACAATTCCTTTGAGAGATATTTGTCGTTAACCTGTTTCAGGGATAAACAAAGGCAACCTCAGATTTCACAACAAACACTATAGACTATTGATCAGTTGTCAAAGTTAATCACTGTGTACATTTCTCAAGATTTTGTGAGAAAAGATCGACAGTTTAGCAAACTGCTAATGAAGCATTGAGGTATGAAACACTGATTGAGGCCAACAAGAAGGGTAAAATTAGTAAAATATTTCCAAGGAAGACAGAGAAATTCAAGAATTCTAAAATGAATAAGGAGATTTTTGCAGCAAATTAAACTCAAAACACAAAATTGAATTATTTCGAATCCCATGTCCCGCAAAAATAACCAACAGATTGTTATCATTTGATCAATTATGTCTACAATTGGCAGCCTTTCAAGTGGCAAAGGCAGACAAAAGTTGTTCTTTAATAGTGTTGAAAATGTCAACTCATTACACCATTGTTTAACTCAGTGAGCCGGACCCACACCCGAGTCACTCGTCCACAACTGGCACCTTGCCGGTTTCTAAATCTGTCTTGAGTCTATAAAATATCCAGTGAACGTTCTTTAAAAAAACGAAGTATGGTTTCTCTTATAAATGGGACATGCCTAGCCACGCAACCTGGGTCCTGCCTCGCTCCATGTTTTTAAACACTAACCATCGCATGCCCAGAAAAGGAACATTTCTTGGTATATTGGTCTTAGCAGATGCCAAGCTTGTAATGAAAAGATAAATATCCAAATTCGCATCAATGGCTCACTTCAGATACAAACACAAAGTATGCTACGAACAAAACAAACCAAATAGGCTTGAACCAGCTATAGATGAAAAGTTGACGAAAGAACTCTTGAAGTTATTTACAGAGCAATTTTTTTCCTTCTAAAATGCTAACAAAGGGTCAACATTCAATCCAATGAGTACAAAGAACTCAACAAGTACCAGGTCAATTTAGAAATCTAATATACTAATACACTGGTGAGTTGTAACTCAAGTAATAACCAAGTAAAAAGTCTCGTCTCCATAGGTGAAATGCAGGACAGCTAATGAATCACCCTTGAGCCAATATATTGATATAACAGGAATCCAAATTTGAAGTTTATGTATAAAAATTTGATTCAGAATACGAAATGCTTCATGGATCCCATACAAAAAAGCTACTTCTGATTCCATAGAATCACTTATCTTTATAAAAGCAAAGCCCATGTTAGCATGCAACATATCAGAGAAACAAAGACTAATAAATTTCTCTACAAATAACAGTATTCTATAAGATAAAACCATTGTCGATAGAAACAATAAGAATTTACGGTTAGTACAGTAAAACAACTGCAACAAGAGAAAAAAGCATAAATTCCCAGATACCGCTGAATCTAACAACTCCAGAAGAAACATTCTCCCATGAAGGAATGCAGCACAAGCATCTTCATTTTGTTTCACAAGCCGTGAGACTTCTCTAAGACTTGCAAGCTTTTGGAAAAGGACAGCAACAGCTACACGTGGGTACATCTCAGTGTTGAGAAATTCCTGAAAATTACACAGCAAGAAGAGGTAATCACACCTAGGAAATCTGTGTGAATCAAATTTAATTTAGAAAATCTGGAAAAATGGATGATTAGATCACTCATGAAGACATTAATCATGGACCAAAATATCTCGGGCTCCTTGAATGAAGCTCAAATTTGAAACATCTAAGTCCATATTTGGGCAAAGGGAAAGTCGTTGATCATGTAAACCTAACAGGTGAACAACCTATATTATTTTCGACAAGTATATACTTATATAATCTAAATCATTAATTAATTGAAATCCTAAACCGCAGAAATGAACGTCACATACAACAGAAGAAAATAATTTAGTCAATGATCCCACTCAACAATGTACAAACTAATCACTGATATCAGATCCTCTTTGCGAGCGAAATGGCCAAAGGCTTTAGCTTGAAAGATGGCAAGGTAGAACAAGAATGGTGTATGTATTCAAAAAATTTATTTATTAATACCGGCAAGGCCACTTACATAAGTCACTTACAATGGAAAAAATCATAAAATAAAACCCCGCTATAATCTAAATATCCACCCTTACTGCCAAAAACATATACTCTTATTCGCAAAAGAAAGATGAATCACATAACAAATTTGAATCAAGAACAGGAAAATGATGTACTCTCGCCTCCATGTATCTTACAGTCCACATAAACCTCTGGACCTGTGTTAACCCCAAGGACCCCCACTCACATAGCCCCCTCTACATCTTTATGGGTATCATATTTACTAACTTGTCCTTTTTTTCTTCCAAAATGCCAAAGTCATCAATTTGAGAAAAAACGTCACCCAAAACCTCATCAAAGATTCACCAGAAAGTATGCTCTAGGGGTAGAATATGCAGAATAAACCCCAACAAACCACATGAAGAATCTAAAAGGAAACCCCACTCTTTACTTAGTCATAGAAGAATTCTTAAATACACAATACCTCGTTGAACATGGGTAAACAGTAAGAAACCCTAGGAGACATTTAGGTAAGTTTCGCCTTGTTTTATACCATAAACCCTTTTGCCCACACTTCTAAAGCTCTCCTCCTACTTTCTCCATCTAAAATTTCCCCCATTACCCTGACTCCTGCACTCTCTCATCCCCGGTGACGTCCCATCTTTAATGACCAGTAAAATGCAGCCTTATCATCTCTCTACAGCATCTATCTGGAATCATTAAGGACTAAAGAACCAATGGTGCTGAAATTATGAAGGTTTAGAGTATGTGGAACACGAGTCGGTTTTTGATATAGCAACCATAGTTTATGACTAATTGCTGGTTGAGATAGTGTTGTAATCAATACTATCAGTCCATTTGTGTGTGTTTCTCTAAGTTATGAGATTGTGTTATGCTGATTTCTTAACGGATTCTTTTATTTATATTTGATAATTTGAGTGAGAGTTCTAGAAGCATGAGCACCACGTTCTGGTGATACTTTTGGTGTAACATTTGGGTACTGGATTATTTGGAACTATTTTTTCATTGTTCAAGAAATGAGTAGTGGAAGGCCTTCAAACTTTGTCTACGAATGGATAATTCTATGTGGACTTCTGTTTATTAGTGGTCTGGGGATGAGAGAGAATGTGGGAGTGAGGAATTTGAGGGGAAATGCTGCAGAGGGAGAAAGGAATGAGGGAACGAGGGTTTTGGGGGAGAGATATTGCATAGAGAGATGGCCTTGCTTCCTGGGGATGAGCGGGTGAGGGGAATGAGGGATTAAGGCTTTTGATGCTGGTTTTGGATTTTTTTTTTCGCCATATGAAAAGAAGCAACAAAACCCAGAGCCAAAAGGAATGAGAACCAAAGAAAGAAGATTATTTTCTATGCGATCCAAAATACTGCTGGGAAATGGAACGAAAATAACCAAAAAATATGAGAATTCGCCTTGAATTTACTTTTGGCGACTTTTCCATGGGAAAAAGAAATAAGTTGCCTTGTTTTTCTCAATTTGAATGACTCTGGCATTTTGGAGAAGGATAAGGGAATATTTAGTAATTTTGGTACTTAAAAATGTGTGGAGGGGGGTATTGGTCCTATTTTGCGAAATGTGAGGGTGTCTATGGGGTTTACAAAAACTCAAGGGTTTTTGTAGACCACAAGTTCTAGGGAAGGGGACAATGTCATGTTCCCATCAAAGAACAAGGGAAGACTTATTACCGGAAACCCAATGCTACAGGATCACCTCCAAGAACTTCGGCACGCCCCACTCCTGATCACCATGCTCAATGGAGCACTGATCACGATCCCTGCTGGATCCTCTTAAGTGGGAAGCTCTTAGTGCAAACCTAGAACTAGTTTTGGGGCAAGAGAGCATAACCAGGATAGAACAATTTGAATTTAAGGCCAGATGACCATCCGACACTCCCTTGGGAGTGGCATAATACCCTTTATTCTTTTTTGGTTGGCATGTACCACCCCTTCTTGCTTTTGGGTGGTACAAGCCACCCCAGGGTTGATAGAAGAGAAGAAGAAGAAGAAGAAGTGAGAGAGAGAGAGAGAAGGGGTGTGAGAGAGATAGGCTTCTCTGAAATGATGTCACTGACGGGGGTGTGACCCTGTACTTATAGTAGTTTCATAGTGTTTACCAACATATTTGGGATTTGATCTAGACTGTTGATTTAAGGCAATATGTGGGGTGAATAGAGGCTTCTAATCTCAGCCCTCCATCACTAAATTGAAAATCATGATTAAAAGGAAAGATCTAGAACCATTATCCTATAGTTTTCTTAACATATTCTCTTCTTGACCAAAGGAAAGTTTCTCATGAAAAAGATTTTTCCTTTTATCTTAAAATCATCTAGAAGCGTTTTAAAACTCCTTGACCTTTTAGAAGACTTCTCGAAGCTTTCCAAAACTCATTAAAACAAAAATGTCACATAATATTAAACAAAAAACTAGGAATTATGGGGGAGGTGTGCAGCTTATGGAGCCCCACTGGGTCTTACACCCCACACTTTCTGCGCTTCCCTCATGTGGGCCCATGGCTACTAGGTCCCACGTGGGGTCTAGGTAATCTTTAGGCCCAAAAAACAAAAACAAAAAAAACGCAAATGTTTAATTTCATGTAGGTATCTTGAAAATGCATCTATATTTTTTAATGTTAAAAATTTCATTTGTTTTGAGTTAAAAATTCAAGAAGCAAACTAAAAATATATAATGCATTTTAAAAATTCCTTTTTATAATCCAATAATCATCAAAAACATAAATAAACATAGTTAGGAATATGCAAATCTACAAAGCCAATCCAGCTATGCTAGTTCCTATGGTCCTTGGACTATCTTCTCAAGCCCACCCAGCAGAACTCATGACCCACACTCAATAGTAGGGGCCTACGAATGGTCCATTTGAGTTGGCCAATAAATAGCTGGAACATGAGTCTATTTTGTGGAATACAAGTCCCTTCTGAGGACAAGTCACGTCTAACATGAACATGTGCACATTATCGCAATCAATGTTCAAGAAGACAGAAACGGCCGCGTAGGTCAGCTACTGCGTAGCGGACCTTTTGTGTGTGGAGGGCGGGGACAAAAAAACGGTATGGGGTTGTCAATTATGGAATATAATTTCATACAAACTAAAATTTACATGTTTAAAAATATAAAATTGCAAAATTTTGACATCCATTAGCCATTTAAGCGAAAATACAAAGTCACGTAAATTTAAACAATAAAATTGCCCAAAAATTTGACAAAAATGTAAATCCATAAGCATTTCAAACATTACTGTCAAATGTAAATCCATAAGCATTTCAAACATTACTTCAAACCTGAGTTTAAAAGTTCAAGTGTTCAACTTCAGTACATTCCACTACCCAAAAAAAATCCAACATATTATAGAGTTTCAAAATCCAAAGTTCCAACTTTCAAACAAAAGTACATGACTTTTAAAAGAATTAAATGATCATGAAATATAAAGTACATAAAATACATAGTGAAACATACCTAAGCACATTTTATAATCACAAAAAAACAAAAAAAAAGAAAGAAAAAAAGGAAGAAGTTTCACCATAATGTGAAGCCAAAATTCAAATATAGACACAAGAATATTACCTAAAAAAATAACACAATATAATACTCATTAGAAAAAATGAAATTCTAAATGTAAACATTTAAATTTACTAACCTTTCAAAACCCAGTCGAAGTAGGCTTCAATTGCTTACTTTGGGATGCCAAAACCTCTGTTTTGCAAACTTTTGGCCTCCAAAAACACCAGTGTCGAATGCCTTTCAATTTCACAAGAAATCGAAAAGTTCGAGTTCGAAATTGATTTTCAAAAAAAACTCAATAAAAGGAAAAAAAAAAAAAAAGGTACTTTGGGGAGGAAAATCTCTCACTAGGGTTTTAGGGGGCCAAAATACCCCCCATGACCTATTTCCTCCTTTCAAGGTGGGGAATTACTAAAAATTCCCTTGAGCATGGCCTATTTTCAGCTTGCCGAAGGGGCCCAGGCCGGGCGCCCAGGTGGTTGGAGCTAGACAGGTGACTAGCCACCCACCCTGGCTTACTGCTATGCCAGGGGTGGTATAACCCCAAGAAGGGACGGTGAGGCCTGATGGCCACCGAGGCGGTTGGGCCAGTGATTTTTTGAACATTGATTGCAATAGTTTAAGGGTCCTCTCTTCAACACATGTATAGGTACTAGGTTCATAGGTCACTCCGATAAATGCGGCCATCATGTGTGCGATGCCTTGTGGTTGAAAGATGTGGCCCTTGCACTCACAAGTCACCAACCACACATACGAGACTAGTCACTGCTTGGCTAAACCACCCTAAGTATCTCTATGATCTCATTCAAGGATTATCCTGCAAACCTTTATGTGGTCATTCCTCATGCCTAGGGCTAAAGGGTTTTAGACTCGACCTCGGGCTTAGACCGCCCAACCCAGGCGAGTCAAGTAGCACCACAAAATATGCCACCAGAGTACTACTGGACTGCAATATCACTATAATCATGGGTTTTCACATGTTCTTAGGGCCTTTGAAGGCAATAAACACTAATACGGCTTTAACCACCAAACCGAAGTAAAGCGAATCAAGTCCATTAGGTTGAAAATATGGAGAAGAAATTGGAAATAGGCCACTAATATTACATATACGTGATGTTCAAAATTTTGAAAATATACCCTATATATATATGGGAAATGATAGCGTAAGCCCACTACCCTACAGCTACATATAAGCCCAACGGCCCAGATTGAATCTGAGCCGATCTGAAGGTCACGACCTAATTTCGTATTTTAATTTTAAATTTGTTTTTTACAAGTCACAATCACATGAAATTTTAGGCGTCTATTCTTCTCATCAAGGTGCACCTAATAAAAATATTAAAAAAATAGTTTGCAAAATATAAATTGACCAAAATATCCCTGAAATGTTTTTGGGGTATTTTGGTCAACTTATTTTGCATGAAATGTTTTTTTTGATATTTTTATTGGATTCTTCTATTTTTAAAGAACATACAAACAAAATTTCAAGTCATTTGGATTTATAGAAAAAAAACTAAAATTCAAATACGAAATGCAAACGTGAT